CTGATAATAAGGACCTGGCCAAAAGTGATCCAGATAAAGCAGTCAAAAATGCTGACTCTTACGAGTACTACTACTGTCTTGTTCAGTTTGATTAACTGATGCAGTGTCAGAACTTGAATTTTGCAATTCTAATATAGTATCTATAGAACTTGAAGCAGTAGTTGGACTTTTCAGTTTTAGGCTGAAATAAGTTTTTGTTAATTTAATTTTTTGCTTCAAATAAATTAATAATTCATTCAAATTGCAATAAATGCAAACTGCTACCATAAACATGATAACACACATACAAACACACACAGACACACATACAAACACACACACACACACACACTACGTACCAGGCTTTGCATTGAGGTACTCTACTAGTCTTGGTTCATTACCAATCGGCTAAAAGAGATTACGTAAAATCATTAGCAAATAATAAACCAACCACATTGGGATGAATGTTGTTTGGAAGGCGAGAGACATTTGGGACTAACGACTTCTCCATTTGGTGCAGCTCAGTCTATTAAAAAAGAGTAGTAACTAGATAGAATTAATAACAATGTATTACTTTTAATTGTTTTATTGTGCCTTTAAGATCTCTTAATTTATCGATACTTCTGCCTTTCTCGTTGACATCCTAAATGATTCTCAAAACTATCATGAATTAATATAAACTCACTCCTTTTGATGACACAACTCCAGCTTCCGCTTTCTTCTCAAGCAATGCATTATCAAGCTTCCCTAATATTTGCTGATACTTACCATAGTCAACTAACTAATGTAAACGATAGAAATTAGCATATTCTATAATTGAAAACCACAAATAATAACCACCCACATAATAGTAATAAACTACCCTTTTAATATTATTTATATGATTAATGTCATACCAACTGATCAATATTGATGTCCAGTTTGCGAAGCTCCACACTCTTTCTAGTTTTCTCTGTGTCCTTGAGATAACTCATCCCAGCCTTTAGTAATTGCTTATTTAAAACTTCACTGTCGTTTCCTTTTGCTGGAGAGGAAGAGCAGTAAGACTGTCTCAACCTTTTACATCTCAGTACTCTAGGTTTTAATCCACTCAACATAATGAAAAGTGGAAAACCTAACCCACGTGTCATTATACGCATGCGCAGAGAACTCACCCGCCATTTAGTTTCGGAACAGAAAATCCAGATCAGAATTTTCTGATCGAAAATTTCGGGTCTAGACTTTGCCACGCCTACATCACATCTTGTATGTGAACGGACTATAAACGGACAGAGTATCCGGAGATCCTGCAGAGGAGCCCTGGGGTACTCTTTTCTCCTCGTCTTTCTCTCTCGCTTACTCTCTCTTGCCCGCTCACCTCTCGCCTCTTTGTGCTCAGATTTAGCTGGCATATTCTCCTTTTGTTCCTGTGGAACTGTTGATTTACTGGTAAAAAGAGTAAAAATAATATTTAATGTAGTATTTTAAACGGTATAGTACATATAAATGATCTTTTTGACCATTGACCACGTGCCCACATTTCTTCTAGGCCGTAACCAATGGCAGACAAGACTGCTCCTCCCAGCCAGTTGCGTCTGGAGTGGGTCTATGGTTATCGCGGTAACCAGTGTCGCAACAATCTCTATTACAATGGCGACGGTGATGCTGTTTATTTTGTTGCTGGCGTAGCCATTGTCCATAACGTTGCTCAAAAGAAGCAGAGATTCTTCAAAGGACACAGCGATGATATATTATGGTAAGTTTGATATAGTCCTGTGTCTACTTTGATATTGCATGTACATACTCTTATGTCTTCTACATTGCATTGTGCTAACATGTGACTCCTCCAATCTCATTGGTTGATATTTCATCAAATATTTTAATTGTAATCATTAATCCTTTGAATTCATTCTTCTTTAATGACACATGTGTACATAATGTTCTTAATCATTTTGACTTCCTTTATTTCTTATTCCTTTCAATTTCTCTCTTAACACAACGTAGTCTAGCCATTCACCCCAATAAAGAGCTATTTGCCACTGGTCAGATTGGGAAGGATCCTTTTATTTGTGTCTGGAATTCAAAGACAATGGAAATGGTGTCTATTCTACAGGGAGGGCATGATAGAGGAATAGCTACAGTTGCTTTTAGCAGTGATGGAGAAGTCAGTACAACTTGTATGATAGCAATGCGTATCTTTTAATGTTGTTGTATGAGAATTTTTGTGTGGAAAAAAATATAAAAATACTTACAGAACTTACAAAACAAACAGAACTTACAAAAATATAAAAATAATAATAATAGTAATTATGAATATATTAATTGCTAAAAACACACAATTATTATATTATTAATGATCATATGTACAACAAGAAATGATAATAAATAATGTTTTATTTTGACCAATATAATATTTTAATTGACTTTATGTATGTGTACGTGTACATGTACAGTATAATTAATGTAGACTAGATTGTCCTCATTACAGTGTGTTAGTGAGTGGCTACAGTACATGTACATGTATATGTCTTATTGTCTCACACTAATATGGTTTGGATGACCACACTGGTCCACATCCAATACACCCACTACATGTTCATTATGGTAACAGTATTGTGTGGTATAATAGTCTAACAGAATGCCTTGTCCTGTGATAATTATTTTAATATAAGTTATTTTAGCCTGCCCTCTGGTGGGTTTGTATTAATGTACTTCTGTTGATGGACTACTTTCAGTGGGACAAATGCATAATCCAATACTGATCTCCTTTGAGATTTGTAGTCTGTACAATAACTTAATTGTTATTAGAACTTAACTGTAGTAAACTGCAGGTACATGTACATGTGTGTCGATTATGTACAGCAACCCTAGCTGTTGTTTTATGATTATCTATGTTGTTTTCAAGGGGAATGGGCCTTATACTTCCAACAGCTTTAATACAATTAAATAATAATAAAATAATTTTAATATTAATACAAATGTATGCATGTCCATGTGTATTGGCCTGTACATATGTCTATATTAATAATTATGCTTTTATTTTCTTGTAATTTTAGAAGCTGGTATCTACCGGTATGGATGACTATCATTGTATTACAGTATGGGATTGGCGCAAAGGGAAACAGATTGCCTCTACTCGTGGACATGGTGATAAGGTGAGGATCATAAAGCAAGAGTTTGTCATTTTTACTTCATCATATCTTTCACTTTCTGGTTATACACATGTGTACTTTTAACACCTCTCTCTCCCTCTCTCTCTCCTCTTATTTCTTCTAGATATTTGATTGCAAGTTCACTCCCTCTTCTTCAAACCAGTTGGTTAGTTGTGGGGTGAAGCATGTAAAGTTTTGGACACTCTGTGGCAATGCCCTCACTGGAAAGAAAGGAGTGTTTGGAAAGAAAGGTACAGTATACGATCTTTTAGTTTTTACTCTCCTTTTATCTTCCCCCCCCCCTCTCTCTCTTCCCCCCCCTCTCTCCCACAGGTGAAGTGCAGACAGTTCTGTCTATAGGATTCTCAAAGAATGACACATTATTCACTGGTACCTTTTCTGGTGACATTTATCAATGGAAGGGACACACACTGGACAACGTCATCAAGTCTGCTCATAACGTATGCCTTGAGTATCACTTAATGCATCTAGCATTAACATTACTGTATGCATTAACATCAGTTTGAACTATATACATTATTGTATGCATCTAATATTATAATACCTGTACACTTATACATGTACATGTAGCATGTACATATACATGATTGTTGTGTGTTATCTCTCAGGGTCCAGTCCATAGTATTCATGCTAGTGATGATGGGTTTGCCAGTGGCGGTAAAGATGGTAAATTGTGTCTTTGGAATGAGGACTTCACTCCTGTTGCTTGTATTGACCTCACACGCACATCAGCCGGCTATAAAGGTATGATACATAAATACATGTACTCTGGCATATACTGCTCAACTTCCTGTCAGTTGCTCAAAATTGGGCCAAAGTCCCTGTACTATAGTACATGCATGGTCTTGGGCCAAATTTCACCAAAAATGACTAGGAGAGAATTCTTCATTTTTATAATATTTTCTGATACATATACATGTTCTTATGTTGTGTAGCAAGTTTGAGCTGATTCCAATCAAATTTGGATTTTTTACGAATTTTTGAAGTTACTCCAAAAACGGGCCAAAGTCCCTGTACTATAGTACAGTGTCATTGGCCAAATTTCACCAAAAATGACTAGGAGAGAATTCTTCATTTTAATAATATTTTCTGATACATATACATGTTCTTATGTTGCGTAGAAAGTTTGAGCTGATTCCGATCAAGTTTGGATTTTTTACGAATTTTTGAAGTTACTCCAAAATCGGGCCAAAGTCCCTGTACTATAGTACAGTGTCATTGGCCAAAATTCGCCAAAAATGACTAGGAGAGAATTCTCCATTTTAATAATATTTTCTGATACATATACATGTTCTTATGTTGCGTAGAAAGTTTGAGCTGATTCCGATCAAGTTTGGATTTTTTACGAATTTTTGAAGTTACTCCAAAATCGGGCCAAAGTCCCTGTACTATAGTACAGTGTCATTGGCCAAACTGTGCCAAAAATGACTAGGAGAGAATTCTCCATTTTTATAATATTTTCTGATACATATACATGTTTTTATGTTGTGTAGCAAGTTTGAGGTGATTCCGATCGAAATTAGATTTATTATGAATTTTTAAAGTTGCTTCAAAAGCCATGTACTGTATTGTAGTGCTTGTCAGCTCATAAAACTCATGCTGTTTAGCTCACTTAGCATGCTTTGTGGGAAACCCTGCATTTATAAATCAGTAATTATTTTTATTTACTCTATAAAAAGGTTTGTGTCTGAGGAGTGTTTGCTGGGAAGGTGAGAAGGTTCTTGCTGGTACTAAAGATGGCGAAGTGTTTGAAATAAGAGTAGAAGATAAAGAGAACCCAGTTACAGTCGCAAGAGGACACGGAGAGGGAGAGTTGTGGGGACTGGCCTCTCATCCTTCTCAGGCTATATTTGCCACTGGGAGTGATGACAAGACTGTGAGGTAAGACACAGTATAGTAATTGATAAAGTTAGAGTAATGTATAAATATAAACTATCCTGAGTTTATGTTAATTTCTGTCACCCGTTCTTGAGTTATGAGCATTCGAGAAATGTTCGAAATTGTTTGAGGCAATTTAAAAAATAGATTTATGAGCTACATTATATTTTTCCTATACATTTGTTGATAATTTTTATTTATAATTTTCGTTATAATTTCTCCTTGTTATGTAGGGTATGGTCAGCTACTAGTCGTGAAGTACTACAGCTTTGCCATGCGTCCCATCCTGTTCGCTCTGTTGCCTTCTCTCCAGCTGGTGATCATATTGCTGCCGGACAACAAGACGGCTCCTTTGTCGTCTTTAACTTGAAGTAACCATTGCCACTTTTACCCTCTTTATCCTCTCCCCCCCTCCTCCTCCTCTTACAGTAATAATCTCAGCGTAGTCTTTCAAAAGAAAGACAGAAAAGAGGTTCTTCACGAGATGAAATACTCGCCCGATGCGCATTACCTTGCTGTCGGATCTAACGATAATTTTGTTGACGTGTACGATGTGAGCGAGGGCTACAAGAGGGTCGGTACTTGTAGAGGCTCCTCAAGTTTCATAACCCACTTGGACTGGTCCGAGGACAGTCAATTTATTGTCACTAATTCTGGCGCATCCGAGAAACTTTATTACAAGATACCTGGTAAGATTCATATCCATCAATGCCACTATTAACAATTCTTTTTTTTTTTTAATATTTTATTACGTGTCGTGTCATGTACGTAGAATGTCTTATTAAAATGGAAATAAATGCGAAATTTTAAAATCACCAGCACTATACATGTACAATGTACATAGTGTTTTTTAAAAACACCAGTGCTACACTACCTAGTGCACATGTTCATACATAATGGGAGGTTTAGCATACTCTGTTACTGAGAACTGTAGTGTCTGGATCTACAGTGTTTACTCTAAACTGTGTGAAGTGTGTTGGTATGTAGTAATTGATGATCCGATCACTTATGCCTCCTTTATGGTAATGTGTATCTATTCAGCACATCACGTGACCTCATCTTTCTCTGATGTCTAGTCAGTGAAAATATTAAGGAAGTCTGACTTTGTCGCTGTTTTTGAGAAATATAAGCAGATCCTGTTTCTAATTGTGTCTATCAGTCGATGATTTATGATATGAAGTATTCATTAGCCTGGAATGATGCATTTGGGATTAATTAGATTAGTCATTCCTATGTCATTATGGTTTATCTGATACTTTATGTGTACAGTCAAACCTGTCTATTCCGGACACCTTGGGACCAAATAAAACTGTCCTTATTATAGAGGTGTCCTTATTTCAAAGGTTCATTAATACACATTTGTATTGTATTGGGACTGATACTACCTGTCCTGATTATAGAGGTGTCCTTATTTTAGAGTGTCCACAATAGCAGGTTTCACTGTATATCAATTTTCTCTTATTTTTTACATTTGTATATGAAAATTCTTTTTCAAAATCTGTACATGTAGTAATGAAAACTATACATGTAGCATGCGTCTAATGAAAAGTCCTGCTTTATTTTTTAATTAGCATACCAATAGCTTATTATCAAATTGAAGTTTGTGCCCTAACTATTTAAGCAAGTGCATGCATACGTGCTCATATATTTATTATTATTTTGCTATTGGCAGGTGCTGCGTGTATAATTATAGTGGATTTGTTATTTTTGATGAACAGGCTAAATATTCTATATTGAATTACAATATTTAATGACTTAAATATTTATGATCGTAATTTGGTCTGAGTTCCAAATTACAATTATGAGTAGAATTTGTGTGTAGGATGCAATCAGCTATGAATATATCATTACAGTTACTATAGAGCCTTAGGAGAAAAACTACTGCTGCCATTTCTACCACAACTTGAGGAGAAAGAAGATATCATTAAGAAGGGATAAGGCTCTGGTCCAGTATGTCTGTAGTGGATATAGACTCAGAGGTTTCTACCATAGTCCAGCACATTGAGACAGTTCGAGTACAAAAGAGAGAGAGGCTCAGAAACCTTGACTTCTTTTGTCTAGATAACTCCATCAGGGAGAGCACTGTGGGCCAACTACGTAGTCACACTCTACAGAACAAGATTGATATTCTGCATCAGGTGAGAAAGTGTGGCATCAAGGATATCATTGTAGCCACTTTTGCTCATTTAACACGTGTCGATGATGATTTTGTGGAACATCTCCGGAAGGAAAAGGAGGATTTTAGTCACTTTTACTCATTCTCTGAAGTCAGTGAGGGATTTGTGAAAGGGACTGGCGTTTACGACACAGAGAGAGTCCCTGTTGGACTCCAGAAGAACAAGAAGTACGGGCTCATTAATACGATATTTGAAGTCGATCTTGCTGATAGCTCCTGCAACTGGGACAAGTTTACCGTATCTGACATGTGCAACCTCTTAGTAAAGTGGATGAACTACGTCTTTGATGAGATATCTCCGGACGGTAAAGTCCTGCTCACTTT